AGAAGTCATTGGTAAAAAGTCATACAACTAGACAAGCTAGTCTGTGTCAGGAAATTAAAGCTAGACTGTTCACAGCCTATCACTATTATGTTTTATTGGTAAAGCTTGGTAAAAAGTATTCTAGCAATAACGTTTGATAATAATTTTGCAAAGAATGAAGCAGGAAACCAAATGCAGCACATCTATGTCTCTAATTGCTGAATACAAATAGATTTCATTGGAAACTACAGCTTTGAGGAAGCTGTTCTTGTTTCTAAATTTTGTATGTGCAAAATTGATGTTCCTCCTTGAGCAGGTTTTCTGTTAATTTCAATATCAAAGGAATCTTGGAGACTTGAGGATGGTGCCTGTAGGGAATGGTGCGTACTGGAGGCTGAAGCAAGTCAGCTTAAAGCATTTCTTTATAGGGCTCTCCCAGAGACGAGCTACGTTGTTCTAAGCAATGTAACTTGCACGTTACCTGGATTCTCTTGTCACTGGCTTCCAATTTTTGGGTGTATGATGTTAATTTACGCTTTAGGTCTTCTCTGTCTTCAAGTTTCTTCTCTTCAGAAAGTTTCTTCAACGCCCGCAAGGTGTCCGTTGTTTTTAACAGTTCTGCCTCAACCTCTCTCAGCTTGTTGGAAGCCCTGCGCTCTTTTTCCTGAGATGTCCTGAGAAACGATCTCAGAGTCAGCACTTCATTAGTCTGCGTGGCCAAAAGATCAGGAAGGTTAATCTCTGCATTTTTATGTTTACTAATTGCTTTTAAATGTTGAGACTGAAGACGCTTCAAGATTTTATTTTCCACAGTAAATGTCTCCAGTTTATTCCGCAGAACAGCCACTTCACTTTTCAGTTCTTTAATGTTGTGGTCTGTTGCTAACAATAGACGGGAAGCCACGTTATGGTCAGTCGTCAATGTGGTCTTCTGCTGATGTTTCTTTTTAGGCAATGTTTTACCTCCTACATTAAAGAAATATCAAGATGGCATATAAGATTTGAGCAAAGTAAGAATCACATTACCTTTACGTAAGCTTCAGAGCCAAATGCTCAAATAGGTATTCACTGCATGGATCTGCTTATTTTTATTGAGTCAATCTCTGATGCAACTATTTATTGATCAATCTATTCTGAAAATTATACTTGAACTCTCATAATATTAGCTTTCATAACTGCTATACTCACATACTATGCTAAAAGAGTATTTAGACAACTTTACGTTGCATGGACTTCTATTCCTAGAACTCCTTAGTCATTCGTGCCTAAAGCAGGATTGCTAGGTCAGCACCCTAAGCACTATACAAAACTGCATAGACAGATGGATTGATAGACACACACACACACACACACAAATACACACCATATCTAAATACTGATAAAATACTGAAAGTAATGGAGTCAAAAAAAATGTAAGAGTGACCACTCAAATTTGCAAACTCCTTTTCTTTTTCTGGACCCCACTCCCCGTCCCTTAGTGTAATTATTGAAATCATGTGACACTGACATCTGTATGACCATGACAATGGTGAACTATTCCTGTCACCAATGACTGGTGAATTGTACCCATCAACACAACCCCTATAACCTGGAAGGAAGAATTACTGACCGAGAGTGTTCAAATCAATACAGTTTAAATACTTTTAATAACATTTGTGTGACTTCCAAAAATATAGTATACTTTCCGAAGTATAGAAGTGTCAGTCTACTCACAATAGTGTATTTATTGCACAACAGCTTCTTTTTCAGGAAAGGCCAAGCTGCAATTAGTTCGGTTGTAATCTGCCAACCACACTGAATGCAGGCGTGTTCTGTGTGACCAATGGCTTTCTTACCTTTTGCATGGAGATGGTTTTCTTTTTTCTTCTCTGGTAAGTTCCATTCTGTAGTTTCTGGCTGCTGGAGCAACGGGTTGGTGAAGCTGCCACCCTCTTCGCTTGTGGGGGTTTCAGAGGAATCTGAGGGAAAATCGTGGTAATAGAAGTTTAGAGAAGTTCCACAGTTGTTCTCTTCTGAACAAATGCTGTTGCTGCTGCCACAACAGCTGTTCTTGAAACATTATCACTAAAGTCATTGGAGCAGTGAAGTTGAGCACTTCCAGACTGGCTGGAATTTTTGCTACAGTTACTGTCTTTACTGCTTTTGGTCCTCTTACTAAGCCTACCTGGAGAATCGTTTGAGCTTCCACTTTTTCTACATTCTCCACATGTCTTCTCCTCTTGGGTGGTATAACGAAGGGATGTATCTGAAGAAACCATCATTCCACCAATGGCAGGGAAGGCTGTGAATAATACTTTAAATTTCCCAGAGGAAATGACACTGTAGTCAGACAAGGAAACAGTGTATGATGTCAACATTTAATTAAGGCTTCATCTAATACAGGTGTCAAACTCACAACGTCACGTGATGTGTCGCAACATATTGCAACTTTTTCCCATTGCCAGCAATGGGGTGGTTGTGGTTTCAGCATGACGCATCTGGTCCACAGGCCGGCATTTTGACACCCCTGATCTAATACGTTTAAAATTTGTTTGCTCTGATTCTGAACCAAAAAAGATCAGCACAATTTTGGTCCCTTGCATTATATTATTCACTTCTTAAACAATTGATGTTTATTATGCCTTCAGAGCCCTGAGTTCTTTCATGGAGCAAATAAGACTAAAATGATAGTATTACGTTTCATAGAATGCCTGGACTGACATTCAAATTAATGGATGAATGGAGTTGGAATTGACCGTAGAGGTCTTCAATCCCAATCCCTTGCTCAAGCTTTCATCCAGCTACTTTTGGAAAACATGATAGAGAGAAAAAGTGTTCCTGATAAATGAAGGTCAAAAAAGTAGCAAGTTATTCCTTGCTCATTCAGAAACTCCCCAATATTCAAGATTCACCTTCTTTCAATGGTGGGATTCAGCCAGTTTGCAGCTCTTTGGCAGAACCGGCACCGTTTTAAAAACAAGTACGTTTTAAAATGTGGTGTGGAAAAATGAAAATAGGTGCACAATGCCTTTTGGTTATCCCTACCTACTTGAAACCTCTTATTTCAGATGGGTTTGAGTTCTTTTGATCGGGGAGCAAAAACAGCCTTTGCATACAGCTATTCTGAATAAACAGACAAACAAGAGAAGCACTCCAGAAATGAGCAGGGCTTATTTCTAAGAGGAATTTTAGTTTGAAGGATAGTTTCTTAAGACCTACATGGCTTATAACACTCATTTTGTCCCCAGGCCCCCACCACAAAAATGAAAAATGAAGACTCTGGTTTTCTTACTTCATTCACTTGGGAGGAGATGTTGTTGAAGAAGTGGAAAAAAGCGTCTGGGAAGCTACCTATAGCTCAAGATCATTTGCAGAGATTAGTTTCCCTGTTTTGTAATCCACTTATCTTGGAGTAAGCCAACTGATTTTTAGAAGAAATTAAGGAGAGAAAAGTTGTATGTTACTTATGTATCATATATGCAACTGGCTTAAGGAAAAGAGAGAGGCAGAAAAGAGAGTTAGTATTGAAAAATGACCTTGGATAATAAACGTAGGAACAAAAGTGGGGATAAATATAGCAGTTTTAAAAATAAAAAAATAGTCTGAGGATTTTTGCAGGAAGAGAATGAAAAAGAAAAAAAGGTTAGTCCCCATTGCTGAAATAAATTCATCCGTAAATAAGAAAATATGATCAAGGCAACTTTTAGAAAGACAAATGACAAAGCAGTTGGAAAGAAGGTTCTGAGCCCAACATATATTTAAATATATATTTAAAACCAAATTAAAAACTAAAGAAGCAAAAAAATAGTTTCACTTCCTTTGAAAGAAATAAAAAAAGTGTGAACAAACAAATGAAAGGAGGAAAGAAAAAATCTAATTGAGGCAGAGATTGTGAATGCTCAGTTATCATGGATGAGAAATTAAGTGTAAAAAAGGTACATAAAATGGAAAAAAATCTGAGTCTATGGGCTAAGTACCAAAATCTTCATGGTACGTTATTTAAACATGCAGATAACACACACAAACAGATAAAATAGAAAGGAGAAATGAAATGCATAAAAATAGTTTCTAAATATTCCTTTGTTGTACAACATTTATAAACATTAACATTTTGGGGTATTTCTGACTTCAGTTCTTTAATACGTGGGACATAGGAAAATGTGTTATGAGAATTGCACGGTTTCAGCGAGGCACACCATTATGTCCATGGATAATGCCTCAGTGGTACAAATGCCTACTTTGCTGACTGGAATCTGGACAAAATGGAAGTTGACAGCACAATTCAACTTGGAGGGGAAATGTAGCTGCTCCATTTTCCATGTCCCTAGCAGGAGCTCTTCTACCAGTCCTTTATCTTCCATGTGTTTTTGCTTCCCTTTAACTGTTGCTATCTTTGCTTACCCACAACCCGAAACAAGCACTCCTCGATTGCCCAGAGAACAGAAATCAAAGTGCCCACTAAGCATCCAGGGTTTACACTTCCCTCCTACGATGCCAGGCAGAGACTTCTACCCGTGGTCAGTTTATTCACGTTACCCAGTTCTTGGGCTTCGTTGGCAGAGAAGTTGATGTTTAGATCTTTGCTACCATGGCAACTAGAGAACTTCTTCTCTGAGCATCATGGGACTTGTAAGGCAAAGTTGAATGGAAGGAAAAGGTAAGATGGCAGACGTTAAGGAGGCGTTTTCATAACTCTGTCATCTCCAGTTTCCTTCCCGCTCCTCACTGCAGTCATTCAATAAATTATGTTTTTCTACTGGATGTAATACTCCTCAATCCTGGCCTATGAAACAGCTCCTTTTTCTTGATTTAATCAAAAAGCAAACAGAATTAAACCCACTTTTTAAGAGCATTTCATAAATATTATAATTTTTCTTGGTAAATATCTATCCTATGAAGCAAGCCCAAAAAAGTATGTAAAGATATGCATGCCAACTTTAGTGTAGGCTCCACTGAGTACAATGAAATTTGGTCTGGGTAAATTGATGGAGGGTATAAATTTGTATATGATAGAAAGAATTGTAAAACGCATGTTAGGGGAACAAGTTTATTGGGACAATCTAAGATCATAAAATTGAGTTTTTCGCATTTTTCAGAAGAGTTCATTTGGCAAGGTGAAAAATTGAAAGAAGAAAGGAGTTTTGATCGATTTTTAGCAACCTCATCATTATCTGCTCGTAATCTGGTCCTTCAGCTCTTCAACGATGCACTCTTCACTCCAGTAACTGAGTCCATCCACTTTGCTGCGGGTCACCCTGTTCTTTTCCCTTCCACATTTCCTTGCACTAGAACCTTCTCCAGAGGGCTTGGTCTTTGCATAATGTGTCCCAAGTGGGATAATTTGAGTCTGGTCATTGGTGCCTTGAGTGAAAACTCTGAGCTGGTTTATTTGATGATTGACTGATTTGTTCTCTTGGCTGACCACTGTTTTCTGAGGCGTTTTCTCCAAACCCAAAAGTAACTTTCTCTTCGGAAGATACCAGTAAGCTTTTAAACCTGCATGTAATTACAGACTTCAAACAAAAAGTCAGAGGAGACTGATCTAGTGTAATTTTAAATTGCAGTATGATTTTTCCAAACAGGGCATTTTAAGTAAGCCATAGGAAAAGTTCCCTTTTACATCCAGTTTTTAAGAAAAACACAACTAAGAAAACTAAAGGGTTTTTATGTGAATGCTGTTGGGTGAACATTACCTGTAATATGCTGCTAGGAAAAAATGAAGGCAAAGTTGTTCCTTTAGCTAGTTGTCACCTTGAACCATAAGTTGGGTGGCAAATGAATAAGAATAAGAATGATGATGTCCAGAAAGAGGATATGACAATTCTTGTAGACAGCAGAAAAGCAGAGAAAGAATTGGAGAAAATAACAAAATTCAAAGACCAGTAAACAGAATTAGAATTATTGTAGCAAAAGAGAACAAAATTAATAGGTGGCTTGGATGCCATCCCAAAACAACTAGGACACCACTTAAATACCATCGGCACTGACAAAATCACCCTCAGTCAGTTGCCAAAGGCAGCTTTGCTTGGCACAAGTTCCATCCTGTGACAATACCTTTAACACTACCAAACACAAATACTTGCCTACCCCAGGCCCTTTGGAAGGTCTTGGTAGGTGATAAAATGCCACATCCAGTATAACATCTGGTTGACTGTGTGCTGAAGCATAGTAATAATGCATCTGCCAGGTCCTTGAGAAGGACTGGATAGGTGGATGAAAATTCAAATCCAGTCTGGACATCTGGCTGACTGTGCAACGAGTCACAATTCTACCAATGACATTTGAAATTATTATCTCTTCCAGCAAATAAGAAACTCCCAAAGAACTGAAGTGGGAAACCAAATGCAGCACATCTATGTCTCTAATTGCTGGATAACAATTTAAGAATCTGAATACAAATAGATTTCATTGGAAACTAGAGCTTTGAGGAAGCTGTTCTTGTTTCTAAATTTTGTATGTGCAAAATTGATGTTCCCCCTTGAGCAGGTTTTCTGTTCATTTCAATATCAAAGGAATCTTGGAGACTTGAGGATGGTGCCTGTAGGGAATGGTCCCTACTGCAGGCTGAAGCAAGTCAGCTTAAAGCATTTCTTTATAGGGCTCTCCCAGAGCCCAGCTACGTTGTTCTAAGTAATGTAAGTTGCACGTTACCTGGATTCTCTTATCACTGGCTTCCAATTTTTTGCTTTATGATGTTAATTGTCTTCAGAAAATTTCTGCAATGCTCGCAAGGCGTCCCTTGTATTTAAGAGTTCTGTCTGAACCTCTCTCAGCTTCTTCCTGAGATGTCCTGAGAAGCAATCTCAGAGTCAGCACTTCATTAGACTGCGTGGCCAAAAGATCAGGCAGGTTAATCTCTGCATTTTTATATTTACGATTGCTCTTAAATGTTGAGACTGAAGATGCTTCAAGATTTTATTTTCCACAGTAAATGTCTCCAATTTATTCCGCAGAACAGCAACTTCATTTTTCAGTTCTTTAATGTCATGATCTCTTGCTGACAATAGATGGGAAGCCATGTTATGGTCAGTCATAAATGCGGTCTCTGCTGACGTTTCTTTTTAGGCAATGTTTTACCTCCTACATTAAGGAAATATCAAGATGGCATATAAGATTGAGCAAAGTAAGAATCTCATAACTTTACCTAAGCTTCAGAGCCAAATCCTCAAACAGATATTTACCGCATGGATTTGCTTTTTTTTATTGAGTCAATCTCTGATGCAACTATTTATTGATCGACCTATTGTGAAAAATTATAGCTGAACTCTCATAATATTTGCTTTTATAACTGCTATACTCGCATACTATGCTAAAACAGTATTTAGACAACTTTAGGTTGCACAGACCTCAGCTCCTAGAACTCCTTAGTCATTCGTGCCTAAAGCAGGATTGCTAGGCCAGCACCCTAAGCACTATACAAAACTGCCTAGATAGATGGATTGATACACACACAGAAACACTCACACCATATCTAAATGCTGACAAAACACTGAAAGTAATGGACTCAAAATAATGTAAGAGTGACCACTCAAATTCGCCCACTCCTTTTCTTTTTCTGGACCCCATTCCCTGTCCCTTAGTGTAATTATTGAAACCATGTGACACTGACACCTGTATGACCATGACAATGGTGAACTATTCCCATCACCAATAACTGGTGAATTGAACCCATCAACACAACCTCCATTACCTAGAGGGTAGAATTACTGACCAAGAGTGTTCAATGCAAAACATTAACATATTAATCAACCATATGCAGTTTAACTATTTAACCTATTTAACTAGATTTGTGTGACTTTCAAAAATATAGTATACTTTCTACAATCTAGAAGTGTCAGGCTAGCTCGCAAAAGTAGCGTTATAGCACAACTGCTTCCTTTTCAGGAAAGGTGTGTTCTGTGTGACCGGTGGCCTTCTTACCTTTTGCATGGAGATGGTTTCCCTTTTTCTTCTCTGGTAAGTTCTGTTCTGTAGTTTCTGGCTGCTGGAACAATGAAATAATGAAGCTGCCACCCTTTTGCTTGTGGAGGTTTCAGACATATCTGAGGGAAAATCGTGGTAATAGAAGTTTAGAGAAGTTCCAGAGTTGTTCTCTTCTGAACAAATGATGTTGTTGCTGCCATGACAGCCGCTCTTGAAGCATTAACACTAAAGTCATTGGAACAGTGAAGTTGAGCACTTCCAGACTGGCTGGAACTTTTGCTACAGTTACTGCCTTTAGTGATTTTGGTCCTCTTACTAAGCCTACCTGGAGAATCACTTGAGCTTCCACTTTTTCTACATTATCCACATGTCTTCTCCTCTTTGACGGTATGATGAAGGGATGCATCATCAGAAGCCATCGTTCCACCAATGGCAGGGAAGACTGAATTATACTTTATATTTCCCAAACAAAATGGCACTGAAGTCAGACAAGAAAACAATGTATGATGTCAAGATTTTTTTAAGGCTTCATCTAATACGTTTAAAAGTTATTTGCTCTGATTCTGTACCAAAAAAGATCAGCACAATTTTGGTCCCTTGCATTATATTATTCACTTCTTAAAGAATTGATGTGTTTATTATGCCTCCAGAGCTCTCAGTTCTTTCACGGAGCAAAAAAGACAAAAATAATAGTATTACATTTCACAGAATGCCTGGACTGACATTCAAATAATAGAAAAAAGGGACCTTAGAGGTCTTCTATCCCAATCCCTTGCTCAAGCTTTCACCCAGCTACTTTTGGAAAACATAATAGAGAGAAAAGGTGTTCTTGATAAATCAAGGTCAAAAAAGTAGCAAGTTATTCCTTGCTCATTCAGAAACTCCCCAACATTCAAGATTATCCTTTTTTCTACACATTTTAAAAACTTGTACATGCAGATAACACACACAAACAGACAAAATAGAAAGGAGAAATGAAATGCATAAAAATTAGTTTCTAAATATTCCTTTGTTGTACAATATTTATAAACATTAACATTTTGGGCTATTTCTGATTTCAGTTCTTTAGTCATTTAATTAAATACGAGTGACATAGGAAAATGTATTATGAGAATCGCACGTTTCAGCGAGTAACACAATAATGTCCACAGATAATGCTTCAGTGGTACAAATGCCTACTTTGCTGACTGGAAGCTGGACATAACAGAAGTTGACAGCACAATTCAACTTGGAGGGGGAAAGTAGCTGCTCCATTTTCCGTGTCCCTAGGAGGAGCTCTTCTACCAGGCCTTTATCTTCCATGTGTTTTTGCTTCCCCTTAATTGTTGCTATCTTTGCTTACCCACAACCCGAAACAAGCACTCCTCCTGCGCAACCACAAAAACACTCTACTAGTAGATTACCTAAGCCCATACTTGGGGTGCCTCAGCCTCTGGCTGACTCAAGTTTCAGGTGAGGACAGGTAGACACATGCTTAAAGAAGATTTACTGGAATGTCCTCCTATCAGGAGAGCCCAAGAAAGATGTCAATGTCTTCTGAAGAATAGACATTACTTACAGTAACACAGAGCAGTTATGAAAAAAGCATTATGCCACTATATTTGAATTCTTAAGCAAAAGGTATGCTTTGTGATTTTTATGGTTCAACATTTATAGTCATTTTATGTTTTTACTCCCATGAATGTCCTATTTGAAATGATGTGTGTTATGTCCCGAGCCTTGCAAACGGCTCGGGCGTTTGCAGGCAGTCCCGGGCAGGTGCAAAGCTGCCCGGGACCAGACAGGCTGTCGCCAGCGCCGTGCGCATGCGCGGGTGCTGGCGCGGGAAAAGTAACCCATTTACCCGGGAGTTGCCTATATAAGAGGCTGCGAGGCGTTTGGGCGAGGCTGAAGCCATCTTCCTGTAAGCTGAACGCTGAATAAAAGAAACTGAGAACTCCAGCTGCTTCTCGTGTCTGTTTTCCCGCCACGGACTCAACACTGGCGACGAAGGTGGGATGCCTTGCACTACCTGGAAAGGAAGAAGTGTAAGCTTACCCAAGGAGTCCTGAGCGGCGGAAGAGGAACGGCGTCGACTCGGCAGCTGCCCGCCAATCCGGTGCGCATTCGGGGGTAGGCTGGCTGATAGACCCGTCTCCTGAAGATCCGAAGATGGCGAAAATCGGAAGGCTTTCGGAATTCGACGTCTCACATCCAGAGCGGTGGGAGTCCTACGTATCCAGAATGGAGAACTACTTCAAGGCAAACCAAGTGAGGAAGATAGCTTGAAGGCTGCCACCCTGCTTTGCGTTTGCGGCCAAGACGCCTTCGAAATTGCAGAAAACCTTGCAGCACCTGTCCCAGTAGAGTCTGTAAGCTACGCAGACCTGAAGAAGCTGCTGAAGGAGCACTTCCACCCCAAGGTGTCCGTTATCTCATGGCGCCACACCTTCGAACAGAGGGATCAACGGTCCGGTGAGTCAGCCAAGGAATACATCGCCGCGTTACGGAAGGCCGCCAAGCCCTGCGAGTTCAAGGACCTCGAGGAACGACTGAGGGACCGATTCGTGTGCGGGTTAAGGCATCGAGAGTTACAACAGAGACTTTTCGCTAAGGAAGAATTATCCTTCCAAGACGCCTTAAGGGAAGTCACCGCAGAAGAAGCAGCAGGCGGCGCCGTCAAGAACATGCGGCCGATCAGAAGCAGTGCAGAGGGTGCGTCCGTGCACCAGGAAGACGTCCGACGAAACTCCGAGGAGGATCCGGACGAAGAAGTCGACCGTCTACACCCCGCGAAGGAAGAGAACCAGAAGGGAAGCTCTTCGGCTCCGCTCAAGTGCATCGGCTGTGGAGGTCGCCACAGGAGAACCGACTGCAAGTTCCGCTCCGCTACCTGCCGGGCATGCGGCAAACAAGGGCACATTGCAGCTGTGTGTCTGGCCCGACGAAAGGCACAACCCCAAGAAGAACGCCTGAAGGGTACCAGACTCCCCAGCCAGAATAGGGTAGGTTTTGCGCTTCGCGAAGAAGCATCTATAGGACAGGCACACACAAGCCCATGAAGAAAAAGCTGTCACTCAACGTGAAGCTACAAGGGGTTCCATTATCTATGGAACTAGACACAGGGTCTGCCCTTTCCATCATTTCATTGCATACATTTAGGAAGATTTGTTCCAGTAGTGGGACTAAGGCCAAGTTAAGGCCTTCTGATATTGTATTAACAGATTTTCAGAACTCAAGAGTGTGTGTTAAGGGGGAGGCCACCCTTAACGTGCAATACAAGAGTTTTGAAGGTCCACTAGACTTATTAGTAGTAGGGGGTGAACGAACGAGTCTCATAGGACTCGATTGGTTTGAGGCCCTGGGGATACACGTCACAGGACTCAACAGCTTACAAACACTCGACCTACAGGAAGTCTGCAAAGAATTTGCAGATGTTTTCAGCCCCCAGCTGGGCACATTCAAAGGACCACCTGTGTCCTTAAAGCTAGACCCCACTGTCACTCCCATTAGGATTAAAGCAAGAAGGGTCCCTTTTGCTTTAAAAAGTAAGATTGACACTGAATAGACAAACTAATCCAACAGGGAATCCTAGAACCTGTTGATTCCAGCCCGTGGGAGACCCCCATTGTCACGCCTCTAAAGGCAAATGGGGACATTCGCATTTGTGCTGATTACAAATGCACACTCAATAAGGCATTGCAGCAACATGCCTATCCTGTTCCTGTGGTCAGTCACATCCTGGCCTCTCTCAAGGGGGGGCGTGTTTTTGCAAAGCTTGACCTAGCTCAAGCATATCAACAGCTGCCTGTTGATGATGATGCTGCTATAGCTCAGACCATTGTGACCCACAGGGGAGCCTTTAAGGTAAAAAGGCTACAGTTCGGAGTGAATGTCGCTCCTGGGATTTTCCAAAGCGTAATGGAAAACACACTATGAGGTATACCAGGGGTCTGCCCCTACTTTGACGATGTCTTGATTGCAGGAGACTCCACACACATTCTAGCTGAAAGGCTTAGGGCTGTCCTGTTAAGATTCAGGAAATCAGGCCTCAAGCTCAGAAAAGACAAATGCAAGATTGGGGTGCCTTCTACTGAATTTCTGGGATTCAAAATTGATGCTGCTGGGATTCATCCTGCTGAATCCAAACTAACTGCTATTTTAGAAGCACCCAGGCCAAAGTCTAAGGCCGAACTTCAGGCCTTCTTAGGCCTCCTGAATTTCTACAATTCTTTTCTTCCACATAAAGCTAGTGTAGCTGAGCCTCTTCACAGGCTACTAGACAAACAAGCTGTGTGGCTGTGGTCACAAGCACATGAGGCTTGCTTTAAAGAAGTCAAGGCCTTGCTCACTTCTAACAGTGTTCTTGCACATTTCAACGAGTCTCTCCCTGTGTGCATCGCTTGTGATGCATCCCCCTACGGGGTTGGAGCTGTCCTGAGTCACCTCAGGTCTGATGGAACTCAGGTTCCTATTGCATACTACTCCAGAACACTGTCTTCTGCCGAGCGCAAACTACGCTCAGATAGACAGGGAGGCTCTGGCTGTTGTTGCTGGATTAAAAAATTCCACGATTTCTATAGGCAGGCATGCACGGTCTCACTGACCATAAGCCTCTGCTGGGATGTTTACCACACGTAAGCAGAATCCCCACATTCATTTCCCCTAGAATGCTTAGTGGGTCTATTTTTTGTCTGAATATGATTTTCATTAAATCCACAAGGCCTGGGAAAGAAATGGGCCATGCTGATGCCTCATAGGTTGCCTCTGCCAGTCGTAGAGTGACCCGCGCCAGCTGTCAACATTCTATCAATCCAAGCCTTGCCCGAGCTTCCTCTTAGTGCCAGGGATTTTACCGCTGAAACAGGTACAGATCACACACTTTCACGTGTCCGCTCCTGGGTCCTGTCCGGGTGGCCTGAGCACTGCCCTAGTCCTGAGTTTCAGAGTTCTGGTCCAAAAGGAACGAACTGTCCCTTTCTCAGGGTTGTCTGCTTTGGGGAAACAGAGTTGTCATTCCCACCTCAATGAGGACTAGGGTCTTAGAATCCCTCCACGAGGGTCATCCTGGCATGGTTCGTATGAAGGCTCTTGCACGCAGCCACTTGTGGGGGGCCGGGTTTCGTATTAAAGGTATTGCGGCTAAGTTAACTCATGCCACCTGTGCCAACGATCTCGCCCAGAGATGTCCCCAAGCTCCTGTGCATAGATGGGGAGGAAAACACATTCCCCATGCGTCTAGGGTGCACATTGGACTAGCTGGGCCCTTTCAGGGCAAGTTCTTCTTGGTCCTGTTGACAGCCATTCAAAAGGCTTGAGGTTGTGCCTGTTCATCCAACCCACCACTGCAAAGACTAGTCAGGTACTGAGGGGGATTTTTGCTGCACACGGGCTGCCAGATGTCATTGTGTCCGACAACGGCCCTCAATTCACCTCCTCCGAATTCCAAGCTTTCTTACAGGCAAACCTGATTCATCATGCCACGTCT